TGCAATGCTCGTCAAGTGTTTTAATGTGGACAAAACAGGACTTTCCTGTAAGAAAATGCCAGAAAAGTAATTATGAAAGTCACAGTAGTAAATGTACTGTATATTTACTGTAGGTAGGTAAAATCTTAGTAAAATTGGTGTTTTGTGAGGTGGTCCAGAATTTAACTGCCTTATAAACTGTTCCTTGAGGCCCAAACCTGTTCATTAGCTGGGGTGTTCCTGTAACATGTGTTCAATTTTATTTTATTATTTTTTTTTTTGGGGGGGGGGGCAATTGAAAGCATTTTATTACCCATAACAGTAAGGAAAATGATTATTATGCATGTTCCAAGCAGTTTAACTGACTACAACATCTCATAATTAAATTATTTACAATCCAACCTCTTCTTTTGAATCCAGTCCCTTGCTTCAAAAGAACTCTTCAAGAATTTCTTTTATTTTACAAGTGATTTACCATGTTTGAAATTGTCAAGAAAGTAACTACCCAGGTTGACAACCCCTTATCCAAAATTCCGAAAACCGAAAGTTTTTTGGGAGCATCACATACACCGACTTGTGGTTTTTTTTAAACATGGATAAACCCACCTGGGCACAGGTCACTGACCCACATCGGGGCCTGGGAATCGAAAATGTAATAATAATAATAACAACAACAATAATAATATTGTAATTCATAGTAAATAAAAATTTTAATAAAAAAATACAGTTAAAAATAAAATAATAAAATAATAATAATGATGATAATAATAAAGAACCATAAAAAAATACCCATACAAAAATTAAAAAATGATCAAAAGTGAGAAACACGACCTAGACCTGACGCTACTGGCGCTTGACCCATGCCGGGCGGGGGTGGTGGGTGTAAGGCGTCACTTCTGTCTCAGTGTTGCTACTAGTCACACCTGCGTCTGCTGCTCTCTTATACAGTATTTTGTGTAATTTTGTTTAATTTCACTGTGAAAATGCCCAAAAGAGCTTCAGATACCCCTATGGGTAACAGTGAGAAAGTGGAGTTGTTACAGAAGCTTGATTGTGGTGGGCGAATACCCGAAAAAAAAAATGACCTAACTATTCTGAAATCCGAAACTTCTGGCCCCAAGGATTTCGGATAAGGGGCTGTCAACCTATCAAATTAACTGCAGCAATACCCTAGTAGTAGTAAGCAACCCCGAGGTGTTTAGTTGGTGATAAGACACATTGAAATTGGCAAAAATATGTTAACCATCTTCAAGTTGTATTGTAACTTTTGTTGAAGGAATGTCTTTCAATTTATAATAGTAACTAATGGGAAAATTCAATTATATTTATAATTATTAAATTTATGATAGGGTTTTCAGGAATGCAACTCTTTTAAATTGAGGTACAATAGGCAGTCTCCAAGTTATGAAGATCCAGTTTACAAAAATCAGGTTTGTTTATAAAGACAATAAAATGAACGTATGGTGCTGTACTGTATTAATAGTGATTAACTAAACAAAAAGTAAATAATAAGTACAATACATGTAGTGTTTTAGTTATCATGGCTCACCGTATCATTATGTGAGGCAGTGGCAAGACACTGACTCAAGGTGTTTCCATTTTGTGAACGTTGATGTGTTTAGGTTTCCAGAGTTTGATCTGATGTCCATAGAAGGAATAAAATTTAAAATTGAGAAGTTTAAAATATCTTCAGAAAAATCTCTTCAAAAATCAAATGTAGTGAAAGGAAAACATCTCAAAATGTATATACTTGTTGGTGATGTTATAAAATTAAAACCATTTGTCTTTGTTTGGCCTCACAGTCTTGCACTACATAAAACCAGTGATGCAGTTTTTCAGCAACTTCCTTGTATGCCACTGCATGTATGTCACTTAATATGTTTATAATCATTGTGTACACCAAAAGTTTCCTTAAAAACATGTTTTATTGCATTTTAATTTTTTTTTTCTTTTTAGGGAACATATCCGACTTTTATAATAGGGGTGTATGGTAAAATATAATCTTATTTGCAAAAATTTTTCTGGAACAGAACCCTTTTGTAAATCGGTGTCTGTATACAGTACCTGTAAGCTCAAATTATTATTTTGATGTCTCCCACTAGTTTTTATATAGTAAGAATTAGTACAGGTGTTGACAGTTCTATGATGGGGTTGGGGACTTTGAAAAGCCGTTATAGGGAAAATATGTTCTGTTCTTGAGGCCCTGAAGAGCAAACGTTATCACTCTGCGGCTATTTTCAACTCATAATTTCAGGTAGACATATTTTTTTTTAATTCATTACATGCACACATTGTCTTTTATACAGAATGTCAATAAAAATATTATGAGGCAAAAAACAAACGGAATAAATATTTCTTACATGCATGAGGGCGAGGGTAGACAGACAATTTTTTTAATCTGTTAACTGCACATAATCTTTCATATAGAATGTGTACAAAAAAATTATTATAAGGTTAAAAACATGAAAGTAAATAAACATTTCTTATGTGTGCTGGATCACAGAGCGGATAAGGGGAAGGTGGAGTGGGGTTTCTCAACTGTTCTCTGTCTTGTGTCCCATCCGTAATGACACGATTGCCAAATGGCAATGCAATATTGTTTTTTATTAATTATTATTATTATTATTATTATTTTCATTTATTCCTTACATTTACTGTACTGGTACAGAACCGTATATTTTATGGACAAATAATAGCTTCTTTCACACCCAAACCATCCTCTTGGCGATGTGACATAGTTCAGCCTATCAGTCACCAGGGATGGGCAGAGCCTCCCATGCATACCACGTGGATCGCACGTGTTATGCCATTCTGAGATTGGAGTTATCATATCTCAGAATATTGCATGTTATTGCACATCACTTTTTCATAGCAGTGACTATGCAGGAAAAGCATTCAGGTATTGACCATTGTAACTCTGATTTTGGCCATCAAATAGAGGTACTGTACGTATTTGGTGTTAAATTATTAACATCTTAAAACTGGTCGATCACACATCAATCAATCGTACAATGGTCAACACCTGTATTTATTAATACCATTAGAAAAATTTGATGAAAGTTGCACTATATTTTGTTTCACTTATACCTACAGGTAACCTTTGAGATACAATGGGGTTAGGTTCCTGAAAAACCCATCACTAGGTGAATTATTGTAGGTAGGAAGCATTATAACCTGGGGTTCAATGAGATACGTTCCCAGCAAGTTCTCAAACACATGCACCACAACAAAAAATTCCTATAATCAACACTAGGCTTCACCTCACAGATACGGTTGTCTTGGATGCCTGGGCCTTCCCAAACATTTTCAAAGTTACGCTGCTCACTTTACAGTCACAAAAACAGAGTGAATGATGAAAACAAAAACAATGATAATGGCCAACACTGCTCACGTTTTCAAAACAGCAGAGTCGAGGCACCTTACAATCACAAAAACACAGAAAATATGACTTCACAATCACCATAACACAGTTCAATCTAAATGTTAGTGCTGTCCTTATCACTATACAGTATAAGTAAAAACTAAAAACCCTGATAAGTACAATGTACGATGCTGGTTGATAATCGTGGAGCCATGCGATGGCGGGTTTACAATCGACAAAGGACCAAACACGGCTGTAATGCACAGGTTGGTTGTGTGAGGGTGCATGGGTAGGCTTACAAGTGAAGGTAGAGATGCGTCATGCATAGGGTTAAATATTTATTCCTTATAAAATTTCACTGACTTAACATTGACATATAAATTGGATTCCTGGAATCCTTGCAAGACACTGATTAATTTGAGTACTGTACTGTTCTGTATACAACCCATAATTTGCACTAGAAAAAAAAATCCAACCAATGAATATTGTTAAAGCAAGTTATTTTGATTGTATATAGTGAGATGGTCTTAATTTATGACCATCGTGAAAGCGGAATATCGCTTCTCGGGATATCGTATCTCAAGATTTACCTGTACTGTATGTACTATTAAGACTGGAGCTAAAGAAAAAATTTCCAAATTATTATTTCTTGGGAATTTTGTACTATGGTTGATTGTAGTGGCGGCTGGTGGTAAAATATATTCGGGGTACTGCAAGTTATGTGTAAGAGCATTAGAAAATTACATAAATTTGTCTTACTGTTGAATAAATAAATTTGGTGTTGGTCTTCTTCTGGCTTTGAATTCACTCTTTTCTTTTAATGTTACTGAGAGAAATTAATGCTTTGAAAGTACTGTATATCACTTTGTTTTCCATGATTTTGGGTAAAATAAAGTTGAATAAAATTATACACCTGGATTAGGCTATGTGGTGAAGGTCACAGTACCAAAAGTGCATGACCTAACTCCACACCAAAGATATCAGTCATTGGGCCTGCTTGTACTGCGCCTCCAGGTTAACCATACAGTACTATGCCAGTGCCAGGTGGAAATGAAACGTGCAGTTGCCATAAATGCCGCTTGAATTTTGGTCCGTTTTTTTATGTAAATGTAGTTCAAAACATGTATGATTCAGCTTATGTGTAGATGAATCATACATCTGGCAGTGGGTGACAAGGGGAACTGTAGCTTTTCAGCTCCTATGGATAAGCCAGCACTGGCTGATTGCATAAATAATTGTTAAAGTAAAGTTTTCTGTAAATATTTGGTTTACCTTTGTTACTGTATTTATTTGAGTAGTCTGCTACTGTGTTGAGAGGGCTAAACCAGCTTTCAGGCTTGCAGCACCATTAAGTAAATTGTGGATTAGTTGAAACTTATGAAAATTCAATTGGTAAAATTAAAATGGCTGTATCACTCATGAATTTATGATTTAGAAATTTTTGAACAGCATACTGTACTACAGTATTCATCTTTAGTAACCAGCAAATGGTGTCTGCTTTGAAATGTCTTGTTTTTGTGTGCTGTTCTTGCCTGTACATGCTGATGATAACTGATAAATTTATTTTAATAAATACATTATACTGTGTATTAATACAATGTGAATTAGCATTATAATTACTCATTATACATTGATTGAACAAACCTCTTTTTCCTTTCAGAGAATGGTAATGACCTTTCGGGTCTCAGAACTTCAGATGCTACTGGGATATGCTGGGAAGAACAAAACAGGTCGCAAAAATGAACTGCAGAGTCGAGCCATAGAAATAGTGAGGTTAAGAAATCCTGCCATACAAGCCAAGATAAAAGAGTTATACAAAAGCATACAGTAAGTGATGTAGTCTGTGAAGTTGAAAGACTGGCCATCTTCACTTTCCACACCACAGACAAAAGATCCTGCATGCTTATTTTGTTGCTTTTCATTCATTACTTTAGCTTTTTTTTTGTAGAATATTATTTTCTGAACGGAGGTTTGTAGCTACTAGTGTAGTATTTCTTGTGTCTTTTTTGGTATGGTATAAATACTACAGTACTGCATATATACTGTATTTGATTTTGCACAGTTTGTTATTGAGTGGTATTACCATATACCTTATAATTTTCTTTGTACTGTATTGGTAGAAAGTTCCAACACACATGGAGCTAGAAGCATTACTGTAAATGTATCCATTTCTGATGTGCTATTTCCTGCTTTATAGCTCAATAATCCTTGGGAGCTTTAACCCAAACACTTAATGGACATCTTCACTTCATACACCCCTCAAGCACAATTTTTTTTAGCTCTCTCCTTCCAGGTTATCCTTAGTTTTCCTATTAATTTAGTTCTTTTCGCTTTACTTAGATACTGTTTACAGTTTATAGCCTGACATTGGTTTCAAAGAGATGAGTATTTTATGCCTCGAGCTACAGGATTTATATAACCCAGACGAACTTCCAGTTCTGATGGCTAGTAAAAATTGCAACCAACATCCCAAAAAAAGAGATTTGGAAACAAATGTTGCCTTAGTTGAGGAAGAAAGGACAGATATGTAGACGATAACGAGGAGATTCTAAATTATTCCTGCCAGCACAGTAGCAAGCACAACCTTGCCTCCCATTGTTACTTTCTGTCACCATGGATTTGCTGTAATAATCATTAAGCCAGCCCACTCCTTGGGCAAAAACAAGCATCAGCCAGATTGCTTTGTATTTTATGATCACTGCTAAGTGCATTGCCCTTGTAAGTTGCAGCACTTGAGAAAGTGTTTGGGCTAAGTCACAGTTACAGTACAGTATATGTATCTATACAGTTACTTTGTGTTCCAAGCTGCTTTACTGGTGCTAATTATTCTGTTGAATTCAACCAGTTTGTGGTGTGGGCCTGTACTAACTGTGTGGGATAAAAATATTTGGTTTGACTTTGAAATTTAATTTCAAGGGCTTTTTTCAAGTGATGGTTGTAGAACCAGCTGGTGTTCTTGCAAAGCAGAAATGATGCTTGATGTAATATTCACTTTAGTTATTTCATACTTTGTGCTTTGCAGTGAACTGTAGGAAAACCCCTCAGGGGGTTCATTGTTTGGTTGAATGATGGTTGGATTATTTAATCACACAAGAATGGATTATGACCTTTAACAACAGTGTTTTAAAGCATAAAACCTATAACAGTAAGGCCTCACTCCTAGTTCCAATCTTGGGCTAACACCCCAGGTGAAAACTTAGGGTTAAACATGTGTGCGGGCAGATTTTCTTATAGGTATTAAAGTATTATGTTCTTTTCATTGTCTTAAAAGTTTGGTTCTATTGTTATCATAATTTCATGGAAGTTGTCTTGTTTCTCTTGTAATGCACATACAATGTTCTTAGATTTTTACAGCACTAGACATTCATGGTTATTTCCAGTGAATTTTCTCTCTGTTGGGTGGACTTGGATGCTATTGTGGGTTATCCAATTACTCTCTACATGGAATGGCATTTTTACAGTTTGACATGTTTAAACTAATAAGAAAAAGTGTGCAGGAGAAAATGAGTGTGAATGTTGACACAAGTTAAGCGTTTCTCTTTTTTTTTTTTTTTTTTCAAAAGAAGGATGCTAATGTGTGAGGCGTGACCTGTTGTGATATGAGAAAGTAAACAATTGTTAATGAACCAGCCTTCATAAGGATGGAGGAGTAAATACTAGTACATCTAAGGACAGGGAAATGGCAGGAACTTGAATATATTATTTGACTCCTTCACTGTATCCAGTGGTAGATGGATAGATACAACAACTACTTATTCACTTTTAATTGAAAATAAGTTTTTGTCAAGATCTGAAATTGTGGGGGTCTGCTGTATTAATATTTTACCAAATATCTTACCTCAAAAATTTAAATCATCTGTAATGGTGATATCATTGTACAGTACAGGAAATGAGAGGAATAAAAAAAAATATACCAATAAATAAGTTACAACAAAAAATACTATACTGTAGGCCAAATCAGTAAATGAAGTTTAACACAGTTACCATTTGCATACCCTCCCTGCTTCACCATAGTAATGGAGATCAGCTGGGATGCCGATTCCCTACTCTCTGCTCTCTCCTCCCGCTCCCTCGCTGAGCCAGCTAACTCGTGTGCAAAGAAATGTATATTCCCTTTACGTGTTTCCCCTTAGGACAATTATTTCTTTTACTTTTTTCACAATATGTATGTAGGATGGTGTGTGCATGTAACTGAATAAAAAGAAATGAAGAAAGTTACGTACTGTATATCAACCCGAAAATACGAGTTGAAAAACAACCCTAACACCTCACAGCTTGGCCCAGAAGCCTGGTGGCTACAGTGTTGAGTATAACTATTATATCAGTAAACACTAATAATAACAGTAAATCCAGAGAAATATGGCAGGGGAGTGACGAGTTACAACAGCAGCTGGCGCACTAACCAGCAAACGCAATCACTCACTCACCTTCCTGCTCCCATATCCAGGCGTATGTTGCCAGGCGTACATATGGGAGAAATACCTATCTTGTAGTTTAATTTGAAAACGGTGACATGCACAGTGAAAAACAAATTATATAAACCATGCATTTACTTACGATAAGTTAATAAGAAATATTGTATCATTACTAGAGTGAATGAAATAATATTCCCACAAACAACAATTGAGGTGTTGTTTAATACAAGGGGGGAACGTGCCAAAACCAAGTTTTGAGAAAATGAGATGGAAAGTTTGCCCTTATTCAAAACATCATAGAACCTCCAAAAATTCATAAATTCTGTTCAATGAGGTCACATTTAAAGGCGATTTAATGCAGAATATGATCCTTGTAATAAGTGAAGTGTGATGTATGATTCTGGTGCACATTGATGTCAAATAATAAAATGGTGTGAAATTAACATTTATGAAAATAATGAAATAATAAAGTTCTGTACACAAAACAAAAAATTTATACCGTATTGTAATAAAGTAAAATATATTAAATAATGGTAACATACTCTAGATGATGATTGTGCTTTGCTAAAGAACTTGGTATTGGGGGGTGGGGTAGGGTAGGTGGCTAGTAGTCTATCTGATCATCATCAGATATACTGTATCTTCCTCCTCTGGGACGCTGAAAATAGAACGTAGCGGACTTCTTCCCGACATGCTGATTAGCTCATGAAGTAAGGCAGGCTGTGATTGGTCGCTGGGCCACTGGCGAGTTCGACTTTGCTTTACTCTCGCAGACACTGAAATTACCACAAGCAGCACAAAGATGCCGGAAGTTTTACACCATATAATACAATGAGTTTTTGCCAGTAAACCAAAGGTGAACTCGCCATACCATCTTGTGTCATAGTGGAATGAAATTTTCTGAAATGAATGGTATAAAAATCGCATTTTCGCTCGAGTGACGAGTTTGCCCTTGCATTAATCAATGCCTCAATTGACAACTCTGTTTATGTTTTCGGCTATGGGCACCTGTGTCCCACGTGCTGACATCTTAGTTATACAGGCCTAAGATGATCTTTGTTATCTTTGCTGTTGTTTCAGGAATGCTTCTTAGGGAGTCTTCTTAGCCCTTGGAACCCCCAAATTTTGTCTGAATCTTAAGAAATCTGGATTAACCGGGTCCGAATGTTCGAGGGTTCACTGTATTGCAGAAATATTCCCATGTGGGAAGGTTCCAGCAGTCATGGAAAGTCTCATTAATGTTTATAAAAAATTACGAGTTTTAGATATTTAATTCTGACTTGTTTATAACTACTGATATGTTTTCTGTGTCGACCTGAAACCTTATCGGGGCTTGACTCTTAAAAGTTGTTTGGCTGACAAGGACAAGAAAAAATCGTACTGGCGTCATGTTCGGGCAACTAAATTTTTTTGTTGACATACTTGAAGGAATGTGGTGGTACTTATGTATTTGCTGTAGGTGAATAAGCAGCTGTTTTTCAGTTTTTATGAAATAGTTGTTGGTGAATAATAAATTTATTTCCCAGACTTTAGCCTAGTTTTAACAACTGTGCACTGCCATTGCTATTTATTCCCATTCAATGCGGACATGCCATGTTTCGGACGCAAACCTGTTGTCAAAACTGCCTGTACGTACTTGAAATTCAAAACAGCTGCCTTGAATCGGTTAAATTAGACCAAGGATTCACCATATATCAGTAGTGCATTTTGTAATTGCACATCAGTAGGTGAGATGCCCTTCTACAAGTTGTTTTAATGTGTATGGAATAGAAATGGCCAATCTTGTGATTACAGTGGTCCCTCGGTTAACGAGCACAATCCGTTCCAACATGTTGCTCGTTAACCGAAAAACTCGTTAACCGAAACCATTGTTTCAATGGGTTTTTGGGTAATTGGTTCCAGCTCACAGAAAATTGCCTAAATTCAACAAAAATGTAGAAAAGCACACTTACTTTGAGGTGTGTATGTAGAAGGCTCCTGGATGATGATGATGATGATGGGAATTAGAATGGGGATGGAGGAGAAGGGAGAAGAGAAGGCATTGGGGTGGAAGAGAAGTCACCCCATGGCGCCATTTCACCCATAAAATTTTAGTTCTCTTGGTGTAATTCAAGATTATTTTCTTTAAATCAACACTGCACTGCATTATATATTGTCAGTATGTAAAATAAATTTCAAAATGACCAATAATTTGCTTGGAAACACAGAAAAAAAGCATTTAGTTGAAGAGAGTCTCAAGCAATATGTTACCTCCATTGAAAAGAGAGAGAGAGACTAACGCCTGTTTGTGTGTAACAGGCTGGGTGGCATGCCAGAAACTAGTTTCTTTACCTTCAATTATGTTCAATAATTGTTAAAATGACTAAAAAATATTAATATTAAACTTTTAAAATTATTGAATAGTATAAACTT